CAGAAAGCGAGAACTCATCCCCCAGGGGGAATGGTCACACCACAATCCCTTTTCCTCCATTCTCCTCTCGGGATCTTGGGCATGCAGGCACACCCGCCCAGCATGAGTTTAAGCCACTACATGGGAGTCCAGCGACATAGCCATTACATTAACTGCTGGTCCCACAACTCAGATTCTCAACACACCACTGTAGAATGGGAACTGGCCCGGCTCCTCACCACTGTGTGTCCTTGAGACAACAGTGACCTTGGCACTCGCTTTTCTATGATACTGGCACAGTGTCCTAAGATTTAATCTGATCTTTGTCTGAAATATTTTTTTTCAGAACCCAGTACTGTATCTTTCTAAAATGGCAAACTTATAATGAGTTCATGATACTGGGGGAAAAGGGTGTATGTTATTTAGAGAAGAGTGTGTCTGCTCTCTAGATTTCTCCTGTCTGTGTTACAGGCCTTCCTTTCCCAAGTCTCATTTCTGGACTGAGGCAACTGCAGAATGTACAGTCCTTTGGACTGTGTTGTCCCCAAGGCACAACCCCAACAAAAATTGCCTCTGCTACAAACTTGTAAAGTTGGAATTAATTTTTTCTTTCATGTCAGCAGGACTCATTTCACCCATACAAATTGTTTAGCTGTTTTCCTTTTTGGCACAAAACGGTTTGCAGAGACTCCCCTAAAGGTGAAGTTGACAAGCTCTGGCATGGCAAAGACTCCAGTGCCTCTGGGCTCTTATTCCTCCTTGTGCATCTAATGTCCCACACAGAAAGTTCTCTCTTCCCACTGTGACATCTAGTGATGTTTCAGCTCCTGCTTCCTCTGTCTCCATCATACACAGGGAAATGCTCTAGGTCTTCATTTACAGAATGGAGTCGTATTAAGTTTGTGTGTGTGTGTTTTAATCCTCCTAGGTGGATGGAAGTCTGCTTAGTGGAAGAATTGCCACCAACCACCGAACTGGAAGAAGGGCTTCGGAATGGAGTGTACCTCGCGAAGTTAGCCAAGTTTTTTGCCCCGAAAATGGTATCAGAGAAAAAGATCTACGATGTGGAACAAACACGTTACAAGGTAACTGAGATCTAATTGGTTTTGGCTTCCAACTAAAAGTAAAAGTTGGGTATTTCATTTCCTTTCCCCTCTTTTGCTCTTAGTGTTTCTCTCGGGATTTCGTGGGAGGGGGGATGTCCTTGGTCTTTGAAGCCTGTTAATAATCATTCCTGAGGCAGCAGCAGTTTGCAAAAGCCAAGTGTTTCCATTTCTGGGCTGAAGCTGAGAGACCCCTGATTTGTGGGGCTTCTCAACACCCATCTCCCAATTAGTCCTTCATGGAGGTCGTTGGCAACTTTATTAGTGCCAGTAAATGTGAAAGTGGGAGCATGCTCCCCCTCCTTTTTTCACCTCCGACATAGTTTATTGCTCCCATGTTCTCATCAAGGTATAAAACACCCAACTGGGACTTGAACTTGTGGCCCTAAAGAGTTTAGCCCAATGTGATAAAAAAGAGTAATAATATTGAATGGCCAGGTAGGAATTCTTTCCCATTTGGTAAGTAAAATCAAGTAAGATGAACCTTTCTGTGTGCAGCTAGTCTTAAGAATTGTTTCACAGGATTTGGAAAGATCCAGGGAGTAAAAGGCTGCTATGACCCTTCCAGAAACTGCTACAGCAACAAAACCCCACCCATATTTAAATTTGGAACAGGGAGAGAAAGCAAAATAGATACCACTGTTGTATTTATTTAAATAGCTATTACTTTAAAACTCCTGATCTTATAGCGATATGTATCAAAGTATTTTCAGATAAAATGATTCATCTAGGATTTGTCCCAAAATAACTGGGGGAGGGGCCAATGGGCAATAGAAACTGGCCATGGGTTTATAATTGCTGAGGATTGGTGGGGACACAAGAGTTCAGTTTAATAATCATGCCAGTTTTACATTTGAAAATTTCTATTAAAAAGTGAAAGAGAGAGGCCAGTAGGTGCCATGATGACTTAAGGCGTTGGACTCTCACATGGCTAACTGTGGTTCAAGTCCCAGATCTCGAGGCTTAAGAATTACATTGGGCAAGTACGTGTGCTCAAAATCCCCGGAGGAGAAGGGATTGCAGTGTGGCCATCCCTCCTGGGGGGGTGATTTTTCACTTTCCCTCTCACTGTCTCTCTCTGGCTTTCTCCAGCTAGCACATGAACCATATTGCAAAAACCTTAAATAAAAGTGAGAGAGGAAAAAGTACACACCAGTCTACATGACTCTTCCAAAAGAGATGTATCTTCAAAAGAGAATTTTAAATATGTGGTGTTGTACTCTGTAATATATGATCTCTTGTCTACTTATGGACCAAGATTTCCAAAGTATCCTTGGAACTTGATTCTTTATTTTCATAATCTATTTAGTTCTTTATGTCAATATTTTTTACTTACAGATTTTCACATATCCTTATAAGTTATTTGCCTTACAATCAAAGTTATTTCTCTTATAATTGCAAGGACAATGTATAGTTGAAGATGGAATGATTTCCCTCTTATTGCATAGTTCACACTACCCTTCAGTTCCTTAGACAAAGATAGTTTTAAAAGATCCATATTGAATTGAGATCAGATGTTAGAACAATTATTAAGGCTAACAGTAGGCAAGATCACTTGAAAAATCTCTTTTGAGTCCATTTTCATAGTCTAGTACAAAAAGTAACCTAGCAAAAGTGTTTGCCTTAAATAATGTTATGGGAGAACACATTTGCATTTGTGAAATTGAGTTTATGAAGTCATGCATTTCACCCCAGAGTTTCAACTCATTGTAGCCTTTCACAAGATTTTAATAAAACAATGACTGGCACCAGCAGATGGCATAATGGTTATGTCACTGGAGTCCCATGTAGTCAATTGTGGTTCAAATCCCAGACCCAGTGGTTTAACCCTCACATGGAATGTGTGTGTGTGCATGCCCAAAATCCCAAGAGGAGAATGGAAAAGGGATTGCGGCATGGCCATTCCCCCCTGAGGAGTGATTTCTCACTTTCTGTCTCTCTGTTTCTCTGGTGAGCACATGTGCCCTATGGCAAAAATCTCTCTCTCAAAGATTTAAACTAAATAAATAAATAAATAAAGTTTGACAAAATTAAGTTTTTGAACTTTTTTTGAGATATAATTTTAGAAATTCAGGGAAGCACAGAAGAAGGGAGAAAAATCTGTATTCTCAACCACAAAAGAAAAATTTGTCTACATTGTACTCTGTGATTTTCTTTTTTCATTGTTTTTATTATATCATTGTCAAAATCTAGATCTGCTAGAATTGACAGCCATGTGGATTTGATGGTAGAGTTAAAGTATAGTTGGCCTAGGTTCTAACCTGTCCTGAAAGGAGGATGTGGACACTTTCTTTTGGACTTTTGTAGACAAAGCTTCTGCAGAAGTGCCTACAGAGCAAAGCGTGGGCTAATTTTTTTGTCTTCCTGGCATATCATATACCTGGACATAGGTGTCTCCTTCCAGATCAGCTCTGGACCAGTTGCTCCTGGCAACTTAAACAAGTACCTTCTCTGCCAGCACCAGGCATCCTACTGTTTGAGTAAATAGCAACTCCTCTTTGGGCTAAAGACAGGGGAGATATTTCCACTGTCTCGTGATATAACACAATACCTGCAGGGTCCTAAGTGACACATTATGAAAGAACAGAGTGTTCTTTTTAGCCCCTGGAGGACTAGGTTGCACAGACTTGGTGCTGAGAAGGGGACAGGAAGAAGGGAGGGAGCAGAGGAGGGAGTCTATTCACTGGAGAAAAGTTTTTGGTTTTGTTTTTCTTTCATTAAATCCCTGAAAATACCTATGTTCTCGATGGAAATTTTTAGTGATTTGCTACTTGATCATAAAATGTTATTTTAAAGCCTTTCATTTCTTATAGAAAAATGCAAGGTGACACGAATTAGTAAATCAGTGACCCAGCTTCTTGTTCTTCTGTTATTCAGAACGGAAGCCTGTCACGTGGTCCTTTCCAAGGAGCACTAAATCATGGGACTGAGACACAGATGTCGAAACACGAGGGAACACTCACCCAGCTCCAGCCCCTTGATGTGCCATCTGGAAGCCATGAATTCAGCAAACATGGGCTCTGGCTCCACGGTCTGCCTAGACTATAGCAATAAAATATGATCTACTGGTTAGGCAGAGTGTCCCCAAGGCAAGGCTAGGTCCCTGAGTCCCGAATGACTCAGCGTTGACAGCCATCAGTTAGACAAGCCCTGCCATGCAGTGCCACTCTCCTTGTCTGCCAGCTTAAGTATAACTGTGGGTCCTTGTTAATTTAGGATTAGAAAGCTGTCCTAGATGTTAGAGTTAAACTTCCCAGTTGTGAGTACGCTTTCCATGGCCACCTCCACCCTCTACCCAGACCTGAGTTCTATGATCCTACCACATATATTGTGGTACTGGACACCCCTCTCTTGAACATGTGTTGTATATTGCAAAGATTGTCTTGCATACAGGCAGGAAGTGTGTGCACCTTCTCTGCCCTATTCTCAGTGAATGGCGCAAGGTCTGGTCTATACGAGTGCTCCAGAAACGGCTATTGGGTGAAGGAGTGAATGACAGTAGTTTCAGATAAACCGAAGATCATTCCTTTTCTGGTCTTCTGTGCTTTATTCAGTGTTTATTTCAGGTGCTCAGAATTTAGCTCCTTCCTCTCAGTATGATGCTCAGCCCTCCAGCAGAACCACCTGATGGGTATGTGTAAAAACCAGAGCCCCCTCTTCCCGACCCTGCCCAGACTGCTGATGCAGGCAGACTCTTGAAATCTCGGAAGCTGTATTCTTAATGAATTGCCCCTAGGTGATTCTTTTTTCATATACTACTGAGGTCTGAGAACCACTGCTCTAATAGGCAGGTAAACATTTGATATGATAAATTGGAACAAAGTTGTAG